ATATTTCCTACGTACATCTCTCCTGTGAGTCACTTCGACTTTTACTCCTCTAAGTGCCTTTTTAACCTGAAGTAAAAAAAATGGTGTCATAATACGAGTAATTCCAGCCGTAAAAGAAAAAAGAAAAAAGAAAAAAAGAGATGAAATCTTTTCTGTTAATTTATGTCAATGAACTAAACACCAACCTTAATTCGGTCGGAATCTGATAACGGCCTCGACAACACATTCTTCCCCAATAATTGGGCAACAAAGTCGATCACTGGTAGAGCCTCAATAAATGCAGCCGAAGCCATATCTAAAAATAAAAAGAAATAAAGAAAGATAAACAAAGCAAATAACGAAAAGATACTAAATAAACTAACAAAGAGAATCTCAAAATTGGCATGCAAGTAATAATTTACCAATGTTGAGTGATAGTCCCATTTGAGTGGGCCTTATACTCTGATAAAATCCACACCATGCCTCCAAACCGTCACCAAGCCTTTGTGGTTTTCGAATGTCGGCCGAAAAAAACGACCTCCCCACAGGACAGAATCTTTTTNAAAAAAAAAAATCAGCAAAATTAAATTCTATAACCATGTTAAAAGTTAACCTTTTTTGTATCCGCATACGTAACAAGGCGAAACTAACTCAGCATTAATTATGAAAATCCGACTTTTTTGTTTCTTATTTTTTTTCGTATGATTATTATTACGCAATGTACTTATTCCATATACCTTTTCATCGAGAGCTCTCTGAGCACAATATCAAGAATCTGAAGAGCTTCTTTAGGACCATCCGCACGCTTGCCAGCAAGAAATTGGCCCAAGTGATGTAAGTTTGCACGCGCTACAAACTTGATCACCACTTTATACACTCTCTCTCTCCTGTAACATTTACAGAAAACTATTACAAATCATCTAAACTAATCTTGATTAGAAAGAACAACATTCAAATAGATTCCAAGCTATGAAAAAATGATGGAAAATTACTTGGGTCCATTTATGCTGTCATCTTCATCAATGAGCCTAATTGTAAACTCCTTCCAAGCGAAAGGAAGTTCGCCAGCTGTGTACAAGCTCTTTCGCCCATCATAAGCAGGCAATCTTGTCCCCAAATCAGATTCTTTGTAAATTTTCACAAGTTCAGCCATGATTGCCCGATTTACCGCTCTCGATGTCACTTCAGGAGTAATAGTCACCTTTAA